TAGACGCACGTGTAGAGCCATGGAGACACGCAGACATAGACGAAGGACAAGCCACAGCAAAACGACGTGAACTCTCTCTCTCTCTAAAACGTTAACTAAAAACTTTTATTGATTTTATTTGACCAGGTAAGGCCCACTGAGCGATAATGCATTTTTTTTTCAGAAGCGACCTGGCTAACGCAAAAGATATCTCAACGAAGTGGGCTCAAACGTCGTGAGAATTATATTTTTATATTTTATTTTTTATTATTGTATTATTTCCTTTCTACGTGACTTTACCGAAGGAACCAAGAAGATGGGTTCATCGCGTCGAGATTAATAGCAGCCCAGATACTCTAAAAGCAAGTTGATTCTAAATTTGAAGGTGGGTAACCGGAGGACCCGAGAAAAATCCACGCGACCACGGGGGGGTTGGGGGAGAGAGACATGCAAAGTCCATATAATATACAACAGGCGTCAGGCTCGAGATAGAACCCACGACACTCCGGCATATCGGGTGAGGTGGTTAACATCTCACCACCGTTTGGGCGTCCTCTCCGCAGAAGCCCTCTCGTCGTGACAGCAGCGGCAGCAGCGACTGACCTCCACGTCGACATCGTGTAGATCTTACTCTTGGTTCTTTCGGTAAAGTCACGTAGGTAAAAAATGAAATTAAAATGAATAAAAATGTTATTGTTTTATTCTTTCGGTAAAGTCACGTAGGTAAAAAATGAAATTAAAATTAATAAAAATTTATTGTTTTATTCTTTCGGTAAAGTCGCGTAGGTAAAAAATGAAATAAAAATTTATAAAATTTTTATTGTTTTATTCTTTCGGTAAAGTCACGTAGGCAAAAAATGAAATGAAAATTAATTAAAAAAAATGTATTGTTTTATTCTTTCGGTAAAGTCACGTAGGTTAAACATTAAATTAAAATTAATAAAAAAATTATTGTTTTATTTTTATTAATTTAAATTTCATTTTTTACCTACGTGACTTTACCGAAAGAACTACGAGTATGAATCCTTGCAGTCACGAAAGCTTCAAATCTAGAATCGTGTAATTCTAGATTTGAAGCTTTCGTGACTGCAAGGATTCATATTCTTAGGTTTTTAATTTAAAGTGTGCCGTACTTGGCCCTTCCCCTCTTCAACCATTATATATATACGGAGTGGTAGCTATTGTAATCTCTCATTTACTTGATACAGCTGTTGTGGCTGTGACGGTTCCACCTGACGACGGAAGCTTGTGTTGCCTCCAAAACGTCGTGATTTTATTTTACTTTTATTAATTTTAATATTTTACCTACGTGACTTTACCGAAAAAAATCTAAGAATAGAATCGTGTAGCTCTGCTCAACGCGTTGCTGCTGCTAACATGCGCTGCAGTGGCCCAGAGTAGCAACGTGGCGTTTAAAGTGTTGCTCACCTCCATGGACCACGACCGCCTGAATTAAAGTCTTCAAGTCTGACTTTTGTTTAAGGCAATGCCCCTTCTCTGGAGAACGTAAACCGCTCAGGTGCGATGGCGCTGAGGCTGCGGACAAGGGTTATTGCCCGAAACGTCAACGATCGCATCTATTTATTTTTGTCTCTTTCAAGGCACGCGCGAGTTGGTGTCATTGAGGGACGTGTCGGGGTTTATTGTTAACTGTGCTGTCTGTGCACCATTGCCAACGCAGCAGCAGCAGCATCACCAAGTCACCTGGTTCATCCCTCCACGACCTCGCGTGACCTCTCGACAAGCACTCCCCACCACCACTCGCCACCACCACCTGCGTTTAGCACGGTCGGCTAGGTACGGTGCGAAAGAAGTTCAACATGCATATATACAATACTGCACCTCCGTCTCGCGACCACCAACCTCACCACCACCAACAACAACACCACCGCCAACCCGACCACCACTCCACCACCAATACTCGCAACCACCACCACTTTCCACCACCACCAACAACAACTCCACCACCACCACGACTCCCCCACCACCACTCGCCACCACCAAAACCACCATCACCAACCCCACCACCACCACTCCCCACCATTACCACCAACCCGACCACCACTTCACCACCAACACTCGCAACCACCACCACCACCAACAACAACCCCACCACCACCACTCCCCACCACTACCACCAACCCGACCACCACCAATACTCGCAACCACCACCACTTCCCACCACCACCAACAACTCCACCGACACCACTCCTCCACCACCACTCGCCACCACCAACACCACCATCACCAACCCCAACACCACCACTCCCCACCACCAACACCACCGCTAACCCCGTTCATTGAATTGAGTAAAGAAAAAACCCATTATCAAAGCCTGGGGAAAAGGAGATGACGACGACGACGACGAGGAGGAGGAGAAGGGTGAGGAGGGTGCGAAGGGAGGGGGAATGTCCCCACGTGGTGGGGGTGTGAAGGACTCAGCCGGGGGGGGGGGGGTGAGCAACCTGACAGTTCCGCGGTCGAAGGCGGCTCATTCAAACCGCTTTGTGGCGTCGCTTGTATTGAGGACCACCGCCCCGTCTCGCATTCATCACGCGAGCGTTGTGCCGCCCTTGACATATTTGCGGTAATTTTTTCGTTTGCGAAATCAGACAAAAAAGAAGAAGTATGTTCTTGTTATTGTGATTCCGGACCCCTGGACTGAGCATAAAGGGAAGCGTTGTGACCGGTATTGTGGTGATTGGATGAGTGTGTGTGTGAGTGGTTGCGCGAATGCGTGAGTGGATGAGTGGGTGTGTGAGTGAGCGAGTGAGTGGTTGGGTGAATAGTGGGTGAGTGGGTGAGCGGGTGTGCGGGTGAGTGGATGATTGAGTGAGTGAACAGTGGGGTGAATGGGCGAGTGGGTGTGTTGGTGAGTGGATGAGTGGGTGTGTGAGTGAGCGAGTGAATGGTTGGGTGAATAGTGGGTGTTTTGGTGAGTAGGTGTGCGGGTGAGTGGATGAGTGAGTGATTGAACAGTGGGGTGAATGGGCGAGTGGGTGTGTTTGTGAGTGGGAGAGTGAGTGAGTGAATAGTGGGTGAGTGGGTGTGTGGGTGAGTGGATGCGTGAGTGAGTGAATAGTGGGGTGAAATGGGCGAGTGGGTGTGTTGGTGAGTGGGTGAGCGAATGAGTGAACGGTTCGATGAATAGTCGGTGTTTGGGTGAGTGGCTGAGTGCGTGAGTGGTTGGGTTATTTGATGAGTGAATGGGTGAATAAGTGAATGGGGGACCGTGTGAGTGATTGAATGTCTGAGCGGCTGAGTGAGTGGTCGAGTAGCCAGGTAGGTGAGCGAGTGAATGGATTCGTGAGTGGGTCAGTAGAAGGGCTTGACAGCCGGAATGTTGGCACACATTGTGAGTGATATGCGGGTGGAAGGTTTGCTCTCTTCCAAGACACCTGCCCAGTGTTGACGAATATGCCAAAGAGAGCTGTTAGTGAACACCTATCCAGGCTTGAGACAGACATGGTTAGCACGCCGGACTTATAAGCCAGCAAAACTAAAATAAAAATGAAAAACGGGTTTCAATAGGCGACGTTTCGGGCAATGTCCCTATTTCAAAGGACCAGATTCCCAGACATGTCAATGCTTAGATATTTCTCATTTTAAGGCCACAAACAAAAAGGCAAAGATCCCCCGTACAGCCTTAACATACTGTTGGGGCAAGTGCTGTTAGCGAGACGCACCTACGAAGGCCGGAACGGCACATGAGGGGGTGGCTGGCCAGCACCACGCCCGGCCGCCTTTGTCTCTCTAGTCATGATGTTTTACGCGTCGCAAGAGGTACTCATTTAATGCTGAGTCTACCTCGGGGAAGCCCCAGGACCCGTTCAAGCTTCCGCGCCGTCAGCAGCGTCAGCCGTGAGCGACAATGGCAGTGCGTGCTCCTAACCACTCGCGCCACCGCTCCCCGGCACACATCACGGATCCGAGAGGCACGGAGGCACTCACCGTCTCGCAAACTTCGCGTGTCTCGGGGGAGACAAATGCGGCCAGGCGTGACGCTGACCACAACAATACCCCGCCGCGCCCTCCTGCTCTTCGTCAAACGCTCACTCGTATTACTTATCGCAACACAGACAAAGATTGCCCCAACCCCCGTTGTAGCCTTTGACGCGCCGTTGGGGTGGGTGGCCAGCACCACGCCCACCCACCCGCCCACCTGCCCGGCCGCCTTTGTCTCACGTCGCACCAGGTACTCATTTGAGGCTGAGTCGACCATGGGGAGGCCCATGACCGGTTCGGATAATCGTTACCGGTGCTGGTGGCCCGTGAGCTGGGAATCAAACTCGGGTTCGCCGGCTTTCCTAGCGCAGCAGCGCGCTAACCGCTACCCCACCGCTCCCCTTAACAAAGATGTTGACTCAAGTTCCACCAACAGCCTCAGCGGATCGATGGGACAAGGGCTCGCTCCGATACTGTTGGCCGTGATGCGGGAATCGATCTCGGGTGGCCGGGTTCGAAGCGCGCGTGCTAGGACTGAACGATGAATCGACTTCAAAATCGAAATCGCAATTTGAAACAATGCGATTAGCAAAACGCAAATGCTGCGATTTTAAAAGGCCTATTACTTTCATATTGGAATTGTTTTATTTTGTATTATTATTACTTAATTTATTTAACGTAACAATTGTTCTGTGTTTAAGTGTTCTATTTCAATTAAAACATTTGCATAAATACATGTTGGAATCAATTCATATCGATTAAGTGCTCACCCTTGCATTCGAATATATAGAGCAGTTCATATGTCGATGCTATCATGTGCTAATGCTCCATCACGCGTTTTAAATCTATTACACAGCGCATATTGAACCGAAGCTTGCCTTAGAATTTTTTTATCGCAAATCACATCGCAATACCTGTCAGAGAAAAAAATCGCAATTAGACATTTCGCCCAAATCGTTTAGCCATAACGAGCGCGCTAACAGCTGCCCTTACTCGCGAACAACACCTCCACGAGTCACACTCGCCTCGTCAGCTCACCTTGAAGTCGTTAGAGGGGCACCCCCTGCCATTAGCAGGTGACCTCGTCAAGTGCGAGTCGCAGGTGTGGGCTGGTTACTGAATAATGGGCGTGGTTTGTGGTGCTGGTGGTGGTGTTTGTGGTGGTGGTGGTCGTTGTAGTGGTGATGGTGGTGGTTGTTGTGGTGATGGTGATGGTTGTTGTGCTGGTGGTTGTAGTGGTGGTTGTAGTAGTGGCGATGATGGTGGTGGTTGCTGTGCTGGTGGTGGTGGTTGTAGTGGTGGTTGTAGTGGTGGTGGTAGCGGTGGTGGTTTTATTGGTGGTTGTAGTGGTGGTAGTTGTCGTGATGGTAGTTATAGTGGTGGCTGTTGTGGTGGTGGTGATTGTAGCGGTGGTGGTTTGTGGTGGTGGTGGTGGTAATGGTGTTTGTGGTGGTGGTGATCGTTGTAGTGGTGATGGTGGTGGTTGTTGTGGTGATGGTGGTTGCTGTGCTGGTGGTGGTGGTTGTAGTGGTTGTGGTTTTGGTGGTGGTTTTAGTGGTGAAAGTTGTAGTGATGGTTATAGTGGTGGTGGTGGTTGTAGTAGTGGCGATGATGGTGGTGGTTGTTGTGGTGGTGGTTGCAGTGGTGGTGGTTGTAGTGGTGATTTTATTGTTGGTTGTAGTGGTTGTGGTTGTAGTGGTGGTTGTAGTAGTGGTGGTTGTTGTGGTGGTGGTTGTAGTGGTGGTGGTTGTAGTGGTGATTTTATTGGTGGTTGTAGTGGTTGTGGTTGTAGTGGTGGTTGTAGTAGTGGTGGTTGTAGTGGTGGTGGTTGTGGTGATTTTATTGGTGGTTGTAGTGGTTGTGGTGGTTTTATTGGTGGTTGTAGTGGTGGTGGTTGTAGTGGTGGTTGTAGTAGTGGTGGTGGTTGTGTTAGCGGAGGTGGTGGTTGTAGCGGTGGTGGTTTTGGTGGTCGTTGTTAGCGACTCACACGCGAGCGGGTCCTTGTCTTTATTGTTGTCGATCGATTCAACTTCAAATGAATGAGCGCCTGGGGCGGTGTGTGAACATCGCCACTGGGGAGACAAAGGCGGCCCGGCGTGGTGTTGCCCACCCCACCACACCCCCTCGTGTGCCATTCCGGTCTCAATGGGCGCAACTTGCTAACAGCACTTGCCCCACCAGCCTGTTCATGTCATACGGGAGATCTTTGTCAGTGGCGACTGTAGTGGCGGTGGTTGCTGGTTGTGGCACGTGGTTGTCCTGTGGTTGTGGCGGTGGTTTCTGGTTGTGGCTCGTGGTGGTGGTGGTGGTAGTTGCTGCACACGCAGTAGTTGTTGTAGAGTGGCGGGCGACACGCGTGCAAGAACGGAGATGATGATTGATGGTGGATGCGGCGGTGGTGGTGGTGGTGTTGATGGCAGAGGTGGGACAAAGTCATTGTTATGCAAGTCCAAGTCGAGTCTGAAGTCATCAAATTCATGACTCGAGTCTGACTCGAGTCCAAGTCACATGACTCGAGTCCACACCTCAGAGGTGGGACAAAGTCATTGTTATGCAAGTCCAAGTCGAGTCTCAAGTCATCAAATTCATGACTCGAGTCTGACTCGAGTCCAAGTCACATGACTCGAGTCCACACCTCAGAGGTGGGACAAAGTCATTGTTATGCAAGTCCAAGTCGAGTCTGAAGTCATCAAATTCATGACTCGAGTCTGACTCGAGTCCAAGTCACATGACTCGAGTCCACACCTCAGAGGTGGGACAAAGTCATTGTTATGCAAGTCCAAGTCGAGTCTCAAGTCATCAAATTCATGACTCGAGTCTGACTCGAGTCCAAGTCACATGACTCGAGTCCACACCTCAGAGGTGGGACAAAGTCATTGTTATGCAAGTCCAAGTCGAGTCTCAAGTCATCAAATTCATGACTCGAGTCTGACTCGAGTCCAAGTCACATGACTCGAGTCCACACCTCAGAGGTGGGACAAAGTCATTGTTATGCAAGTCCAAGTCGAGTCTCAAGTCATCAAATTCATGACTCGAGTCTGACTCGAGTCCAAGTCACATGACTCGAGTCCACACCTCAGAGGTGGGACAAAGTCATTGTTATGCAAGTCCAAGTCGAGTCTCAAGTCATCAAATTCATGACTCGAGTCTGACTCGAGTCCAAGTCACATGACTCGAGTCCACACCTCAGAGGTGGGACAAAGTCATTGTTATGCAAGTCCAAGTCGAGTCTCAAGTCATCAAATTCATGACTCGAGTCTGACTCGAGTCCAAGTCACATGACTCGAGTCCACACCTCAGAGGTGGGACAAAGTCATTGTTATGCAAGTCCAAGTCGAGTCTCAAGTCATCAAATTCATGACTCGAGTCTGACTCGAGTCCAAGTCACATGACTCGAGTCCACACCTCAGAGGTGGGACAAAGTCATTGTTATGCAAGTCCAAGTCGAGTCTCAAGTCATCAAATTCATGACTCGAGTCTGACTCGAGTCCAAGTCACATGACTCGAGTCCACACCTCAGAGGTGGGACAAAGTCATTGTTATGCAAGTCCAAGTCGAGTCTCAAGTCATCAAATTCATGACTCGAGTCTGACTCGAGTCCAAGTCACATGACTCGAGTCCACACCTCAGAGGTGGGACAAAGTCATTGTTATGCAAGTCCAAGTCGAGTCTCAAGTCATCAAATTCATGACTCGAGTCTGACTCGAGTCCAAGTCACATGACTCGAGTCCACACCTCAGAGGTGGGACAAAGTCATTGTTATGCAAGTCCAAGTCGAGTCTCAAGTCATCAAATTCATGACTCGAGTCTGACTCGAGTCCAAGTCACATGACTCGAGTCCACACCTCAGAGGTGGGACAAAGTCATTGTTATGCAAGTCCAAGTCGAGTCTCAAGTCATCAAATTCATGACTCGAGTCTGACTCGAGTCCAAGTCACATGACTCGAGTCCACACCTCAGAGGTGGGACAAAGTCATTGTTATGCAAGTCCAAGTCGAGTCTCAAGTCATCAAATTCATGACTCGAGTCTGACTCGAGTCCAAGTCACATGACTCGAGTCCACACCTCAGAGGTGGGACAAAGTCATTGTTATGCAAGTCCAAGTCGAGTCTCAAGTCATCAAATTCATGACTCGAGTCTGACTCGAGTCCAAGTCACATGACTCGAGTCCACACCTCAGAGGTGGGACAAAGTCATTGTTATGCAAGTCCAAGTCGAGTCTCAAGTCATCAAATTCATGACTCGAGTCTGACTCGAGTCCAAGTCACATGACTCGAGTCCACACCTCAGAGGTGGGACAAAGTCATTGTTATGCAAGTCCAAGTCGAGTCTCAAGTCATCAAATTCATGACTCGAGTCTGACTCGAGTCCAAGTCACATGACTCGAGTCCACACCTCAGAGGTGGGACAAAGTCATTGTTATGCAAGTCCAAGTCGAGTCTCAAGTCATCAAATTCATGACTCGAGTCTGACTCGAGTCCAAGTCACATGACTCGAGTCCACACCTCAGAGGTGGGACAAAGTCATTGTTATGCAAGTCCAAGTCGAGTCTCAAGTCATCAAATTCATGACTCGAGTCTGACTCGAGTCCAAGTCACATGACTCGAGTCCACACCTCAGAGGTGGGACAAAGTCATTGTTATGCAAGTCCAAGTCGAGTCTCAAGTCATCAAATTCATGACTCGAGTCTGACTCGAGTCCAAGTCACATGACTCGAGTCCACACCTCAGAGGTGGGACAAAGTCATTGTTATGCAAGTCCAAGTCGAGTCTCAAGTCATCAAATTCATGACTCGAGTCTGACTCGAGTCCAAGTCACATGACTCGAGTCCACACCTCAGAGGTGGGACAAAGTCATTGTTATGCAAGTCCAAGTCGAGTCTCAAGTCATCAAATTCATGACTCGAGTCTGACTCGAGTCCAAGTCACATGACTCGAGTCCACACCTCAGAGGTGGGACAAAGTCATTGTTATGCAAGTCCAAGTCGAGTCTCAAGTCATCAAATTCATGACTCGAGTCTGACTCGAGTCCAAGTCACATGACTCGAGTCCACACCTCAGAGGTGGGACAAAGTCATTGTTATGCAAGTCCAAGTCGAGTCTCAAGTCATCAAATTCATGACTCGAGTCTGACTCGAGTCCAAGTCACATGACTCGAGTCCACACCTCAGAGGTGGGACAAAGTCATTGTTATGCAAGTCCAAGTCGAGTCTCAAGTCATCAAATTCATGACTCGAGTCTGACTCGAGTCCAAGTCACATGACTCGAGTCCACACCTCAGAGGTGGGACAAAGTCATTGTTATGCAAGTCCAAGTCGAGTCTCAAGTCATCAAATTCATGACTCGAGTCTGACTCGAGTCCAAGTCACATGACTCGAGTCCACACCTCAGAGGTGGGACAAAGTCATTGTTATGCAAGTCCAAGTCGAGTCTCAAGTCATCAAATTCATGACTCGAGTCTGACTCGAGTCCAAGTCACATGACTCGAGTCCACACCTCAGAGGTGGGACAAAGTCATTGTTATGCAAGTCCAAGTCGAGTCTCAAGTCATCAAATTCATGACTCGAGTCTGACTCGAGTCCAAGTCACATGACTCGAGTCCACACCTCAGAGGTGGGACAAAGTCATTGTTATGCAAGTCCAAGTCGAGTCTCAAGTCATCAAATTCATGACTCGAGTCTGACTCGAGTCCAAGTCACATGACTCGAGTCCACACCTCAGAGGTGGGACAAAGTCATTGTTATGCAAGTCCAAGTCGAGTCTCAAGTCATCAAATTCATGACTCGAGTCTGACTCGAGTCCAAGTCACATGACTCGAGTCCACACCTCAGAGGTGGGACAAAGTCATTGTTATGCAAGTCCAAGTCGAGTCTCAAGTCATCAAATTCATGACTCGAGTCTGACTCGAGTCCAAGTCACATGACTCGAGTCCACACCTCAGAGGTGGGACAAAGTCATTGTTATGCAAGTCCAAGTCGAGTCTCAAGTCATCAAATTCATGACTCGAGTCTGACTCGAGTCCAAGTCACATGACTCGAGTCCACACCTCAGAGGTGGGACAAAGTCATTGTTATGCAAGTCCAAGTCGAGTCTCAAGTCATCAAATTCATGACTCGAGTCT